CTTTTAGTATTGGGGATCAAACTGGGGTCCTTCCACTTGTGAGGCAGGTGGTGGAACCACTGAGCTAAATCCCCGGCCCTGATTTCACTATCTTTTCTAACAGGATGTAGGTTAGCATGCTGGTTAAAAGTAACAGCTTTACATTCACACAGACCTGAGTTCAAGTTCTGCTCTGGAAGGAAGCCTCTTAGGCCTAGGCAAGTTATTTACTTCTGTATGCCTCAGTTGTCTCGTATGTAAAATAAGGATGAAAATTCGCTGCCTGCTGCACAAGCACAAGGACCCGAGTTCGATCGCCGGTACCAAAAAAAAAGAAAGAAAACAGGATGAAAACACTGACATGTCCTGTATGAGTGATGGGTGTACATAACAAAATACATGTGAACTATTTACCACACAGTCTGGGAAGTTGAGCATTTATCCAATGTTAGGTGTTACTCTTGCAACACATTTCCTCATGAACCCACCCGTTTCCATCCCCACCATGCTTAGCCACACACCTCCCACAGCCTCACATTGCACTCTGGAAAGCATTTAAACATTGCTGTCACCGTTCTGGTTTTATTTCACCTACTTTGGCAGGTGCTTTTTGAAGAACAAAGACCACATTCTAGTCACTTCTGCTTTTTGGAGCACCTAGTGTCATGTCCAGCACATAGATGAACAAGAAATGTTTCTTGCCTTCAAGAACTTATTTCAAAATTAATGGTTTTATTTTTTAAAGTGAAACAAGAAGTCACTATTAGCTTTACTTCATTCTAAACGTTTGGCTCTGAAGAATGCCTGAGAATTATAGTTAAGGCATATTTTAATTCTGAGTTCGCCTTTAATTCACTTTTAGGTGAACTAGCAATTGGGATTTTTGTGAGGGATACTTTGAAAATCAGAATAGGTAACTTTACTTTTTTGTGGCTAAAATTTAAGTACTTGAGGAATAGAAGAAACTAAAAGTTTAGGGCAGAGGTGGCAAACCTACAGCACATGTGCCACAGCAGGCTGTTTTATCACTGAAAGCTCTAAACGGTTTGCCATCACTGGTTTAGAGTACTGGGGCCAGATTTAGAAATTTGGTCTTTATCTTGTGGACAAAGCTTTTAACCAATTAACAGTTCACTCCTGGCATGACTCCAGAAACGTATTTATGTACTATCCTGAGTGTCACTCAGGCAAGTGCCATTTCAACCAGTCGATTCTTGTATTGAACAAACTTGGTAAAACTGTCATTTTTATATTTCCGGTCATATTATCTTATAAAAATTAATAAAAAATATGTAATCTTGGTCATCTTGTATTTAAATAATTGGACTGACAAGTGGTTAACTGGGGGCATCATGGCAAAATTTTTTGAAAGGTACATTATGGGGGCATATAATGCCATGTGTTTTAGAAGTATCTCTATTGATGAATTAATAATTTTAATTTTGAGTTTTATTAATGTGCACTTAACAGGAAAATAAAATATCCATAAAATAGTAAAATTTTAATATGTAATGTGTTTAGTACATCAACATTTTCACATCAACTGTTCACTTGCTTATAAAACCTAAAAAATAACAACAGAAATAAATTCGTGTGTGAACTACAATGAAATTAAAAACAAAAGTCTACCACAGAAATAATCTTTGCTTCAACTGTCACTCCTAAGGCAGTCTTCACACATGACAACAGCATGCTCCATACACAAATCTCAGCCACACTGACAGCATATATGCTTAGCTTTCCCTTCATGTGTGACAGCCTGTACTTGTCACCTCTTATCTTCCTCTTTTGTCAGGAGCTTACCATATTATACAATAGGCATTTAGCAGAAAAATAAAAAATCAATAAAGTATCAAATATGTAATGAGTGTTTACAATACACATCAATATTTTCACATCAACTGTTCACTTGATTACAAAACCTAATAACAGAAACAAACTCCTATGTGAACTACAATAAAAATATAAAGAAAAGTCTACCACATGGGGCTGAGGATGTAGCTCAATGGTGCCATCCCTACCTGTCAAGTGCAAGGTCCTGAGATCTAGCCCTGGTACTGGGATATTAAAACAAAAGTCTACCACAGAAATAATCTTTGCTTCAACTATCATATGCAAGGCAGTCTTCACACATGAAAACTGTATGCTCCATACACAAGTATACCTTACACTGATAGCATGTGTGTTTTGTTTTCCTGTCTTTTTTTTTAGGGCACAGATGACATCTTTTTGGTTTTTCTATTGTCCTAGTAGGTCTTTGTGATGTTGCACCTGCCTGTTCACCTGTCAGCTCCAAAATTTTTTGGCGTAGTTCCTTGGGCAGAAACATTTTATCCTTCTTCTGCTGTAGTTGTTCCCTTATCAGTTCCAGTCCCAATCCTCTAAGAAAATTTCTTCGTGATATTTTACACTTGTTATTTTCTTTGTAAACAATGAAACTATTTATACCAGATATGTTTAGGATCAAGTAAAACACAATCATTGGCCAACGCTTTGTGTTTCGAGTGACATCATAGTTGCTACATAATTCATCAACAACATCTACTGCACTTTTGGTCTTGTTGTAAAAAGTTTCCATCTCTGGCTTCATTTGTGTCGCGGTATCTCTATCAATACTGCCATCATGATGCAATGTTGACATCAGAAGTACCACTTTGTTTTTCTTTGCCATATAGGAAGCCAATGTTATATCTCTCTGAAATCCAAAGATTGTACTATACAATTCTCTATTTCGAACTTGCAACATTTCACTGGGAATTTCTGCTTTGTTCTTGCGTATAGTTCCTACGCTGGTCAACTGGTGTTCTCTTAGTAAACGTAACATCAATGGGTAACTGGTAAACCAACTGTCGAATGTCACATTCCGATGAGTTTGGGAGATAGGAGCAACAAGTCTATTTACAACATCATTCAGTTTATTACTACACGAATAAGGACCTGGTGGCTGAGTTCCAGGATAAATTTCTAAATTGAAAGTATAATATGTCTTTGCATCTACCAGGGCATATATTTTTATACCATATTTTGAAGGCTTATTTGGCAAACACTGCCTAAAGCTACAGCAACCATGAAATGCTGCAAGCTGTTCATCAATAGTCATGTATTCAGAGGGTGTGTAAACTGCTTGGCAGTTTGAGACAAAGCTCTCAAATAATGAGCGGATAGCGGCCAGATTATCGGCTCTTTTTCTTTCTTGGCGGGTGGTTTTGTCATCAAACCTCAGGCAATTCTGAAGGAAACCAAATCTCCTCAGTGTCATTGTTATTCTACAAATTTCAAGCCCACAGCCATCACTTCTCCATAAGTCTTTTACATTCCTACGATTAGCATGAGAAAGCCCTGCTAAGTATAGCAGACCTATGAATGCTTTCAGTTCAGATAGTGAGGTGTCATAATAAACACATTTTTGAGTATGACTATCAGTGCATACAGAACGTTTTAGTTGTATTTCAGTATTTGTGTGTTTCACAACATCTTGTAGCATATCGTCTGTTACAATCAATTTCCAACACTGAATTGCAGTGCTGGCATTCCGACCAATTGGTTTCACCCCTGCCAAGAACCCAGTATTTTCAGACCTAGTTCGAACATTGGATCTTTCAGGCACAGATGACCATTTTGTTGCATTTTGACTGGTCAAATATGTACTCACGTTGATGTTTTCTTCATCATGTGAATCAAAGAGGTTTTCATTCCTTGTGTCTGTATCAGTCAATTCTTGGTCCGTTTCACTGTCACAGGATCTTTGGCTCAAATGGTCAATATCAATGTCATCAACATCGGTGGATGAGTCACTTGATGATTCACTTTCGACCTCCCCCAAAATTTGCAAATCTGGTTTTTCATGTGCCATTGTACTGATTTGGGGTAATTCTACAAGAAAATCAAAAGAAAACATTTCTTAAAACAAATCCTAAATGTACAGAAATTTAACAAAGCGCATCCCATGGGTAAAACTCACCTGCTGCTACTTTGGCACTCCTGTATATACGTTGTCTTTTGTCTGCCAAATAGGTGAATGCACAGATGGGTTCCTGTTTTCCCCAGGCACAGCTACTGAAAGCCACACCCAGTTACCATTATGCAATGTACTTATTTACATCACAAAAGTACAATGTGGGCGTATTTTACCCCCCACGATGCCTCCTTAAAAGCCTGGGAGTAAACAGGACCAGCATATAACCTGTATCACCCTAAGAGAGCTGTGGGGTGTGGGTAGGACGATAGGAAACACATTGGGAATGAAAGGAGGCTCTACACAGGAGATATAGGTTGATGGTTTCAGAGGGTCCAATCTATAGTTGGCTGGCTCCAAGGCAGAAATGGTGCAGCAGATAGCAGACAAAAACCTGCTCGTGTCATGGTGGCTATGAAGCAGAGAGAGAAGGGAGAAGCCAGGGACAAGAATACACCTCTCCAGGTCACACTTAAGTGACTTGCCCCCTCTGACTTGGCCCCACCTCCTAATAGCACAATTAGCCATGACCTCATCCACGGATTAATCCGATGAGTATATCACTCCCAGGATACAATCACCTTCCAAAGTCCCACCTCTAAATACATGAAACTCTGGGGGAGATTTTAGATTCAAACCGAACAGACATGTTAAAAGCTAGGTACATTCTGGTTTGGCCACAGCCCACCTTTGTCTAGCTTAGCAAATAAACCCCTTTCTCTTGCTTTAGGGAGAGGGGATCCTCTAGTCTTACTTCCTCCCAAGATACGATTCTGTCCACAAGTCCCTATTAAATTGTACTTTGTGTGATCCCAGAATCATCTGCCTTTTTCTTTCTTCTCTCAATCCCTCCCACCTTTCACCAATGCTGGTTCTCACACAAAAGACTAGACTTTTAAAAACAGGACAAAAAATATGTATGTATATACAACTTGGCCTTTAAGAAAGATATCTTGCTACCTCCCACAACATAAATGTCCTTGGAAGACATTCTGCTAAGTGAAATAAGCCAGATTTGGAAGGGAAAATATTGCAACAATCTCACTCATATGTGGACGATTTTAGCTTACATACATACACAGACACAGAATGAAACAGAGATCACCAGGGGTCGGGAGGGAGGAGAGGAATTGGGGAGATGGAAGACAAATGACACAAAATAGCAGATGTGTAGAAGGAACAAGTTTAGAGCTCTGGTAATGTACAATACGAGGACTAAAGTTAATTAAACTGTAAAGGATCAGGAAGTTTTGTTAAATAAGAGTTCAGCTGTTTTTGTCACAAACAAAAGCTATGATAGATATGTTAATCTGCTTCTCTGGAGTCACCAGTTTACCGTCTATATGTATCCTACAACATCATGTCATAAATCTCAAATATACGCAATAAAATTTATGGGAAGAGAGCCAAGAGTGAGGGATGGGCAGAAATTAAATGTCCTCAATAGGGACAGGGGGCTGTGGGAGGAGGGAGGAAGCTATTTCTAAGGGGACTTGGGGGCATTATATAACCAACTGGACAGCAGGTGGTAGAGAAGAACAACACTCTTAGATGAGTTCATCATGAAGTGCAGTATCAGATGCAAGAACTGGAAGGCATGTTGAGGGGTGGGAGAAAAGGAGGCTCAAAAGTTGACAAATTTCATTTGAAGTATCTGCAGGGTTTCCAAGCACAGGTGACCAAGAGACAGTTATAAATAGATGCCTGTTTGAGAAACATGAATCTACAATGCTGGAAATCAGGATAGTATAAACACGACTCCCACAATCTCCAGGTAGAGACACTGGGAATCACTGTAGCAGACTTGCAACTCTGGGGTTTACCACTAAGATTGTTCAAAAAAGGAATCTGTTTATCTTTTGTAGTAATATTTACACAATCTCTGAAGCTCCAAATTGACATGTATAATATTACAGGGGACCCACCCCATTTTCTCTCTGTAGCTGTGAGGTAATGTCTAAGGACTACAGCATTATGAAAGTCTTCAGATCAGAACAGGTTCAAATTCAAGCCTGGTCATTATCAGGTCAGTGACAATTTGTAATTGGCTTTACACTCAGAACCTTTGTATTTTTGCTTTTAGATAAGGATAGCATTAGAGTCTTCAGTTGTCAGCAAGAGTCCATAGCATAGTGGTCAAGAACATGAGCCCTGGAAACAGTGTCCTGGCTTTGATTCCGGCCAGAGCCATTCATTAGCTGTGCAACCTTGGGTAAGTTTCTGAATCCCTCTGGGCCTAGCTTTTTTTACCTGAAACCCACCACATAGCATTACAGTTTTATACCACATACATTAAAGATTTCATAAATTAATTCACACAATGCACCTAGAACAATGGTGGACCTGGTAAAGGTCTCAATATACAATGGCTGCTGCTATGTATGAAACCATTTAACATAAGCAATGTCTATAAAAACTGCTAAAAAGATGACCATTATTACCATTGTTGTTATGGCTAATAAGTAGTTAGCTCTCGAAGTATAAAACTTTCCATATGGCAATTATAACAAAACAAAGGGTGTGGTTTGTGTGAAAGGTCATTCTGCAGGTCATTTTCCCTTGGGTGGTAATGAATTTACGTTGTAATATCTTCGGAGCTTCTTGAACTCTTAAGCATTTGGAGATTATTGGCTGAAGTTAGAGTAACAGTCCACTCTCAGCTGTTTTCCTCTGTATGCAAGACCTGTGCTTGAGTAACGTGGAGTGGATGTTTTACCTCCTTAGCAAGAGAGTTCAAACAGGACAGGCAGGAGCTCGGGCAGGCAGGAGAACACCAGAGGCCTGAAACTTGGAACCGAGACTGCACCAACTACATCACACACCACTTTCTTCTCAAGGCAGCATATAACACTTGTTTTAAGTGTCTTGTCCTCACTTGGCTCCCAGGAGTCCTGTTTTAGTTTCCAGACTTTGACTGAAACTTCTGATCTGGGAGTGCCATCATGCTCCGTAACTGAAAAGTACCCGGGAGAAAAATGGAGATAGCAGTCGGCACTGCAACAACTGCTGACCTAAGAAAATCCAAGTCATGATGAATTTCTTCTAACTGCTCAAGATGAAAATATCATGTGTAAAACTGTGCAGTGTTCCTAGAAATTGTGTCTCATATATCTTCTAGGCCATTCTGAGAACATTTGCAGCAGGATATACAAACACATAGCTATACCTTTCTCAAACCAAGTATATGCCTTAGTTATGCAAATTGTATTACTTTCTTGAACCTCCGGTGCTACATCAACCACCACGAATTTTGCAGCAGGTGAACGTTTGGTTCAATTTTCAGGACTTTGCTGAGCAGCCACAACTTCTGGCTTTCTGCCTTATGAAGTTTACAAATTGCTTAACAGAACAGGAGAGGTGGTATTAACTTTTCATTAGTTCCCCAGAATGTCAGAAATCATCAATTTGGGGAAGAAAAATTCCAACTTGCTCAATGAATCTCACCCTATTCATGCTCCTGGTCACTGGCAGGTCCTGTCCATGGATCTCCATGGCTGGCACTAAAGAATGAGTTTTCACTTGGCTCTTGCCCACCGCTCGTGGCTCTCTTGCTTCTGCTGCTCTCGGAGACCATGCCATGTGTGGTGCCCAGCAATGCTTCTTTGATATTTTCTTTTGAAGTCTACAATTCTCCGTTCGTGGGACAAATACAAAGGCAGTCATTCTTTGCTCTGATGTCTGTACCAGCCCTCTCCTTTGCCAAAGCACTTGTCCTCTCTGAATGGCTCCTGCAACCAGGGCCACGTTTTTCAGTACTTCATTCTTTCTGCAGAAAGAAATGAAGCACAACCTCTGAACAAGTTCAGGGCCGCAGAAATGCTTACTGGGCTCCCAAATGCCTGAAGCTACACTTGGAAAAAAGGTGTGCAGTCCTAGCAAAAGAAAAATGATTCTATTGTAACTGTCATCTGACCAGGACTGGCCAGGAGGAGGGGAGTGACCCTCCTCCTTCAGAGAGCGTAAATGGGGTCCAGCTCACAGTGTGAAATAGCTGGCAAGCAATCTGACAGATGAGGACATTAGCGCCAAGAAGGCTAAGTGTTCACAGAGGTCAGAGAGCAAACAGGTGAGCAGCCCAGGACTCCTGAGTTTTCATTACACTTCTCCTTTCTTTACGTCACACTTCACATACTATAGAGGGGCTCAGATGTGAGTAGCTGACAAAACAGACTAAACATTAACTTCTCCAAATTTCTATGTTGCAACCTAATGTGAACATTTCTGGAGGTGGGGCTTTGAGAGGGAATTAGCTCAGTTCCAGGGCAGATCTTCACAAATGGGATTAGGGCCCTCATACAAGAGACTGGGTAGCTCACTTGCCCCTTCTCCACACAAAGGTACCATGAGGAGGAACCATCTGTGAGCCAGGAAGCAGGCCCTCACCAGACACCAGTCCTACCAGGGCCCTGACTTTGTACTTCCCAGACCGCACAACTGTGTTGGCATGTGTAAGAAATTTCAATAGTTCATAAGACACTCGACTTATGGCATTTTGCTATAGCAGCTGGATGGACTAAAACAAGTGATTACAGTATCGCCCCCCCCCCAGGAAATGAAATCACAGAAAAATGGATCAGACTGGTACCATGTACACTACACACAAATAAATAGGTTGTGTTGACAGTGCAGGCTATGTGTAGCCTTTCATTAATACAACTTGAAAATAACTGAAACCTAAACGCTCACCTTTCTAATCCACACCTTAGCTTGCCTCTCAGCATACTTTATTCCTCCATCCCCTTTTCCTGAAGCTGTATTTTGTCTCTGCTTTGCATTCTGTGTTCCCTCTGTTTAAAATCTTTTTTCATAAATTTACTCATTCTCCAAGTTACTTGATTTCTCTGTGTAATCTTCCTCTAGTTACTAGGCTTCTTTGTGTACTCTTCCTTTTCTTCTCCTAGGTTTTGAGTTTGCTACAGTCTATTATTAATGGACTCTAGTTATTTGAGGTAAGGCTGTCTCTTCAGCCAGTAGTGATCCCCTGAGGCACATCAGGTTCTCAACACCCACGCTTCTCCCACATGTGTGCAGAATTAGAGATAAAGACGCTATCAAAGCTAAAGAATGGAGGGGCCTGGGATTGAGCTCAGTGGTTTGGCCGCCTGCTGCCCAAGAGCAAGGACCCGAGTTCGATGCCCGGTACCAAAAAACAAACAAACAAAAGCTGAAGAATGGTGAACCCAGGATTCATCGCGCTAATTAACCCTTTTGCAGGGTGCAGGTGACAAGTCTGGATGGTGAGTCTGTGGCTCCTTTTTACATATTTTAAAGCAAGTAAACTGGTAAAAATTCTGCATCACTAAACTACAGTAACTAGAAAGCATCCACACGAGAAGATTAGCGCAGGTGGTACTTGCTGAGAAGCCTCTGCTTTCTACTACACATATACTTTTAAATAACAGAATCGTTTTTATTAGACTTACAGTTTTGCAGCCATCACCATGTTTTCCTCATCCCACAAGCGAGTGCACACTCCTCCCAGTCATCCCCATTCCTCCCTGCTTCCCAATGTTATCAGTGAGTCTCCAGCGGTTGCTTTCTGACCTCCGTTCTCCGCGGCTCTCGCCAAACGGGGGTACCTGCAGCCGGCGTCCCCTCTCCCGCTCACCTGCGCAGGGAGCCTCAGGTCGTCAGCCGTCGGACTCGGGGTCGGCGCTCGCGTCCTTCCCTCGCGGCGGAAGGGTCCACTTGACCAGCCGCACGCGCTGACGTCCACACGCGCTGACGACCGAACGCCGTCGCCCTCAGCCTGGGCCAATGGGCGCGCGCCGAGAGTCCCCGCCCACCAGCGACGCCGCGCGCGCCGGGACGCGAGTAGGCGGGGCCTCGGCGCGCAGAGATCGCTCGCCCGTGGCCCGCTGTCCTGGTCGTTGTCCTGGTCGGTCCCGCTGCCGAGCCGCGCCACACCATGGCCTTCGTCACCCGCCACTTCGTGCGCTCCGTGTCCTCCGCGGCCGCCGCCTCGGCCTCGGCCAAGAAGATCGTCGTCAAGCACGTGACGGTCATCGGCGGCGGGCTGATGGGCGCGGGCATCGCTCAGGTGAGCGGCGGGCGGCCCGGCCCGCGCTGGCGCCTGCCCGGCATGCTGCGCGCTCGGGACCGCGCGGCGCGAGCTCGGCGGCCATGTGCGAGGCGAACGGGGCTCCTGCAGCCCGGCCCGCTCTTGGCCCTTTAGAGCCGCTCTTCTGTCGCGGCCGCGCTCGCTCCGGAGCGGCCTCCGCCTCTCCGCGGGTCCCAGGGGTTACCGGGTCACCGCGAGCAGCTGAGGCCCTCGCGTCTCTAACCCGAGCCTGCAAGCCTGGCACCCGGCCCGGCTTTGCTTGGCGGCCGCGGTGACCTTCGATCTCGTCTGTGGGTGCGGAGGTCCGCACCGGCCGGAGGCCCGGGAGGCTCTGATCTGCTGGGGACTCGGCCCTGTACCAGCCGGCCGGGGTTCACGGTCGGTTGTGCAATTTATGGCCGGAATGCTGTAATGCCTGGAGTCTGTCCCTGTCCCTGTGCCCCCTTACATTCCCACTCACATTGGAGAACCTTGATTTTCATATCCTAGCAATTATGATTATATTCTTAGACTTTCGGTCGTTTGCAGCTTGAATTGTCAGGAGTAGGGGAGGTGGTTATGGTCACCTAATTTTAATTTTTCCTAGAGAGGGTATCCTCGAGCCCAGTGGCTGTAAGCATGAAAGAGTTCGATTTGTCATTGATATTTTTTGCTTGATTTTTTAAAATAAATCATGCTGCTTGCATTTCTGCTTCCTGCAGTTTTTATTTTTTGTCAATTTACTAACTTGATTGTGATGACCCTGTAGTTAGTCTGTTTGGCCTATCACCAATACTAGTTCTTTAACTCAGTGTCTCCCATATCTTCTGAGATAATGTTTTTAGAACCCCCCCTTTTTTTTTCTCGGTACCAGGGATCAAACTCAGGACCTCGAGCTTGCCAGGCAGGCACTGTGCCGCCGAGCTGAATTCCCAGCCCACAAACCTTGTCCTTTTTACTGTGTGGATGCCCTGGCTGCTGGCCTATGGTGTCCTAATAAGTGCACATGCCAAGACGAGTAATTCCCTTCGGCCTAAGAGTTTTGCACATTATATCCAAGAGAAGGTTTACTTGTAGTATCCTGTATCCCTCTGCCGTGCTAGTCTCCCAAGGCTGTGAGGTTTTGAGATTTGTTGGGGAAAGGAATAAAACAATGTATTTGTTAAAAACATTTAAACAACATCTTGGTAAGCTATTAGGGCCTTTTGCCTCCAGTAACGGTGTCAGACAAGGTCTGGACACTATTTGGATGGGGTCCTTGAAGAGAGCAGTGGGAAAGAACTGGAACCTGAAGAAGAAATACATAGTGCTTTTGTGTAAACCAGGTTGCTTTGTTCTTAGAATGCTGTGTGCATCATTGGCTCCGTGTTGTGCTGCATGAAAAGGGACGGAGACAGCGCCTAAAGTTACACGTACGGTGTTGCAACTTTCACCAAAGGAAAGAGGAAGGAGAAATGATTGACACTGATAGGGAACATAGACTTGGGGATTAAATCCTTGAGATTTGTCCAATTTAAGGGAAAAAAGAAAGGTATGTACTTCCTAGATTGGAAGCAACTGTCACTGCAAAAGGTAGTGAGGACCACAAGTGCGTAGTGGACAGTCGTAAGGAATAGTAATTCCGTCCTTAACCTAACACGGCTTAGAGAGCCACACTCACTTCAGGTAACAACTGTGATGCTGTGCTTCCTTGCGAGACAGCTCTGCAGGGTTCTCTGCAGACAGCTCTGCAGCACACCCGGTTTTTCCCTCTGTGCGGCGTGAGCAGTCCTGTGCTGTCTTGCCTCACTTTTTGCTCCTTGGCCAGCCGCTGTTGGCACAGGGTAGTGAGTCTCTGGCCTGCTGAGCACCCCTGACTGATGAGCGGTTGTGTGCTGAGTATAGAAGGGCTCAGTCCAGTGCGAGGAGGTGAATGGTCTGCATGGCGCTCTGCCCCACGCTGCAGTAGCAGTCACTTAGCCACCGTGCCCGCGTTTGTTGTCTCTCAGGCCTCTCACTGACACTGCCTGGTAGGACTGCAGAGGACTGGGTGATTAGCGCAGTGTCTGGGGCGCTTGCAGGAAGAGCTCACAGGTCAGCAGCTCTAACCCGCGGTGATGCCCCGTCCTGTCCTAGTCGCCTTTCCGCACCATCTGTTCCCTTTGACTCCCAGGGAGGCCCCTAATGACCACCTGGGGAATAGTGGTCAGAGTCCCTGTCCCTTCTTGCCCAGTCATGAACTCGGGTGCCAGCTGGCACCACGTTGTGCTCAGGACACTGAGCAGAGGGAGGGCACCTCCCCTCTGCTGCCCGGTTCCCTGTCCCACCTTGGCACAGCTGTTACAGGACAGGAACAAACTAGACTTCAGGTTCTGCTCCTGCTTCACGTTTAGCTGCGTTCTCCCGAGCTCTTTTGGAAGTAGTTTCAATTGTGATCAAGTGACCATTCTGTTTACAATTTCAATTTTAAAAATGTGTCCAAGTTAGTGCTGAGCAAGATAAGATGTCACTTGGTCTTACAGGCCCCTGATGCATTTGTCGAGCAATTAAATAATTTTAGATAAGCAGAGCCTGTGCTTAATTATATTTGACCAAAGTACAAGCTGTTGTTAATGTGTGTGTTTTCAAAGAGCATCTGCTTTACCTGTCATTTCTTTTGTTTGTTTTAAATTTTAAAATCCCTGAGGCTGCAGTTAAGTGTTTAAGTGAGTTAACTTGGGTTCTGTGTTTGTCTGGCATCTACTTCTCACCTGCCTTTGATTGCCAATTTATCTTCAGGGGGCTAAACAGGCGAACAGAGGGGCTCCTCGCATTACATGAGCCTCGAGTGGGGACAGATTGGTGTTTGCACATAATGATCACGTTCATCGTGGGCACTGGGTACGTGTTCATAGCTCACCTTCATTCTGTTTCCCCTCCCTTCCCTCCTTCCTCCCTCCAGCCCTGTCCCCTTTGATTGCAGAGCCTCTGTCTGTTTCCTGTTACCTGCACCGTTCTCTTTAGCCCATGACACTTTAGGGGCAGTCAGAGGTTTGCAATTTGAAGGAGAGTAGGGGTGACTTCATCCTGCCCTAAGCTTTTTTTTTTTTTCCGGTACTGGGGATTGAACTGGGGACCTTGTGCTTGTGAGGCAGGTGCCGGAACCACTGAGCTAAATCCCCTGCCCTAAGCTTTTTTTTTTCCTGTCCTTTTAAAAAGCCAAGAGTAAGCTATTAAAACAGTTTGGGGGTACGGGAATGGTTTAAGCTCCAGGGGCACATTTCCCTCACCTTTGTCTTCCTCTTGATGCTGAGTGAGCCCGCAGGGGACCAGAAAGCTTGTCCACCTTCACAGAGTTGGTCACCAGCAGCTTTCTTGGACCCCTGGTGGGTGGAAGAATAGTCGGGCTGCTTTGTATGCTTAACTTATTCATTTCTCCTGCCCAATAAGTTATAAACCTGTTGAAGTTTGCTTCAAAAACTGCAGAGACCCAGAAGTTTCAGGGCTCTGGAGCAGGGCACAGGGAGCCAGCTCTGTGCTCCCTGCTGTCAGTGCATTATGGAGGGTTTGTTTTGATTCACAGGAGGGGACAACTCTGGGCTGCAGCTTAATTCCATGAGAGTCCTTCTCCATCGGTAGATGAGTCGCCAGCCTTGGGATGGTTTTGGAGAAACCGTCATCCTCAGAACATCCGGGGACATTCTGTGCAGTGGAAGTGGCTTGGCCTTCTGGTTTCCTGGCCCCCTCTGTCCTGCCTTATCTGCCTTAGTGACACACGCCTCACTGCCCAGCCCTGCAGTGCGTAGCTGGCTGCCTGGTCGCCTCCGCCTGCCCCAGGTGCTGATGATGCTGATCTGCTGAGGGTGTGGGTGTGAGGAGGTGCCTGCCAGTCAGCACCTGGCCTTCGGTGCTGGACTCCTTGCCCCTGTCCAGGAACAGTGACATCTGTCCACCGTTGTGGTTGTGAGCGTTGCAGGCGTTGTTAGGTGCTCGTGCTTCAGGTAGTGTCTGAGCAGTGATGCTCAGTAACTTCTGGCTGCTTTTATGTAGATCTCTCAGCTCTAACCCAGGGGTCTCTGTAAATTCTCACCTTTGAAGATGAAGGATGGGGAGCTCATCCAACCTTGGAAATGTTAAATGTATGTATGTGGGTTGTAGAAAGATAATAATCTTGGGCTGGGGATATAGCTCAGTGGTGCCATGCCTGCCTGGCAAGCTCAAGGTCTTGAGTTCAATTCCCGGTACCCGGGGGGGAAAACAAGATAGTAATCTTCGTCCCTGGTTGGCTCTTCTTGGTTATTGTCGTGAGTCCTGGCCCTCAGCTCCCTGCAGTCGTGACACTGTTCTGTCCACAGCACTCCCATGGCTCTCCCGTGACCAATGTATAATCACCATTGTAATTGCTCTGACCCTTGATTCCGGGGGCGGAGCTGGGCCGGAGCTGGGCTTCTGCACTGTGCCGGCCTCTGCAGCTGCCGGTGGGATCTGCACAGCATCTGTGGAGAGGACCCTCGTGGGCACCCTCCCTCCACCCCGACTCAGGTCCCGGCTGCCGAGTCCCTGTGGAGCCAGGGGCTCGCCTCACCCTTCCCCCTCCACCTGTGCTCGGAAGCTTCTGCCTCAGTGACTACCCTTGTCCTTCAGACTCATGCTGGGAGACAAGTCACAGGCCTCGGCCCTGCCCCGGAGCACTGTCACTGGCCCTGTGGCTCCTGGGCCGCCGTGGGACCTGCGTTGCTGTGGCAGCTCCGGGTTGGTCTTGAGGAGAAAGAGACCCTACTCGTCCTGATAGGCTGCGCCTGTTAGCCTTGCTGGGTGCAGGTGGTCCGTGGCTCCCCTCTGCTCGGTGCCCCGCACACAGCAGTCTGGGCTTCCTGGGGCAGTGGTTTCTCCTGGTGGTTTCCTCCTCCACCCTGATAGCTTCTTCCCAGAAAGCTAGCAGCCAGGCTTAGGTGGTGTCATTGGACAGTTGCAGAAGTGTGCATGCTCTTGCTTTTGTTGCAGCCAGGAGCTGTGAAATTCTTTTCTACTGAGCCCTGGGTAATGTGGTTGCTCCGAGTTTACAGGAGCGGCCTCAGCTCCCCTGCTGGAAAGGGCTGCCGTCCCTCATGGGCCTTTGCCACCAGGTGGATTCGCCCAGCTGCCCAGAGAGGAGCTGCAGCTCACCTGGAGCCTGGCGAGGCAGATGGGGTGTGTGGACCCAGGACAGCCACCCAGGCCCAGAG